TATATATATATATATATATATGTAGTAACCTGATAAACGGAAATAGGATGAGATAGAGTAGGGCTCGTCCAATCTTCACCGCCTGATTCAGCACACTCTTCGTTATTAATTCCAAGGTCTAGAACTCTTTCGCTGTCATGTGGCGGTGAATTCATGGGATACAGTACTGGAGGACTATCTGCAAGGGAATACATGAAAAGACAAGAAAAACGTGGAAGCAAAGCACTTACCATCCCATTCTACGTGCTCGCATTCTTCCACTGCTCCCACAGTGGGCACGTCGTACATTGAAGAATATTCACTATTGAATTCACTAGAAGGCTTTTTTCTTTCAGCAATTCTTGTACTAGAACTGGAAGTAGTGGTCTAATTTCTCGAAAGACAGTAGAATTGTGTAATAACCAACAAACGTTTTACTCTACAATGTATCTAAAAAGTAATCACTTACGCCATGTTTTCATTATCTACAGAAGGCTGAGATTTAGTTATGTTCTCGCACACTTTGTTCCGTGAATCGTTTTTCGAACACTCAACGCTTTTGCTTCGTGGGCAGCGCCGTTTGTGTTTTCCATGTTCTGTTCTAAAATGTATAGATGAGCAAACAGTGCAAAAACAGATATAAGTGCCTTATTTTTTTTATTCTATCATTGTCAAGCAATCAGCTTTCCAAACAAGCAGTTGACGAGTGATTATGTAGCCTCAGTATTCTCACCCACGATTCCCATTTAATTGGTGTTTTATTGGTTGGTGATCAAGAGGCGTTTCCGCGCTTCCTCAGAGTAGCTATGTTAAGGCATGTCCAGGTCGTTACAAAAGGCCAGACCACTCGGCTCCCTGCTCATTACTGTATAGAGTGCCCACCGACCGTTATGTGTTAATCAAGTTCGCAAGCACAACAGCTTTTTTAAAATTTTTAACCAAAAAGACTGCCCAGTATAGCCTTTCATGCATACTTGGTTAATCCTAAAAAGACATGAACGATAACAATAACGTGGTAAAAAAGAAAAATTCATGGATGATCTGGTAGTTATTATGTTAAGTGGACTGAAAACTCGATTACCAGAACGACCGCACTAACCTTTCATGTGGAGCTTCGCGCTTTTCAGTTTTCCGTTGCATTCGCTTTTCTTTTTCTTGTTGCTCGTTCGCCATTCTTTCGTACCACGACTTAATCATTTGCTCTAGCGATGGTACATGTGCAAGTACAATGGCAGTACGTCCATCGTTGTCTATTGGGATATCCTAGAATTCCGAAAAAAATTAAGTTCAATGAACTATAGGCATTTTCTCTAGGTAAAAAGACTTTAATTTCTCCTTGAATGGTTATACCATTAGCAATTCCTTTTTATTTTCGCTGCAGAGAGCTAACGAAAGATGCCATCTGCTGAGTATCCAGACTGAAGAAGTGAATGACGAGCGCAGTTGCGAGGTGGGAGCACTATACACGTAATTGTTGGTTCGACCCATCGTTCTGGGCAAACTAAGTTACTCCTCAGTCCGAATAGGCTACCTTCACTGGTGGGCAACCACATTACATTTTCACCTGCCACTTTTCATCCTACTGATTGTTTAGTGATCCAAGTGGACGCAAATAAGTCTTCCATTTCTCGCCCACGCGCAAAAAAGTAGCACAATGGGTTCTGCTAGCTCTAGCAACTCGTTGAGCATCACATCTTTCTTCCAAAGTTTTTGTGGAAAACTCTGAACATGGGATCGATGGATTTCCTGCAGTACGTTTGACATCCCGAGGAATCCAGTCACTAAGGGGTTTTGCTCACCGGCATACGCATTACGTGGTATTCGGTTCTTCAGCGAAAAAACACCTTGCCGGGATTCGAAGGGTAGAACTGGTGGAATGACATATCCACATTCCTTTCTTTCACATGAGAGTAGGAGGTTTATTGAAGAGATCCGAAAAGTAATCGAGAATGATTTCCTCTGTTGTCTTTCTGGAAAGCTTAACTGTTCCTCGATCCGCGCAGTGCAACCAAGTTTCGGTGGGCTTTGTGGACAGATTTCTAGCCTCCCAGGTTCGACCACAGTTGTTGGTTTATTCACTTTAAGATCCTCTTTTATTGCGTTCTTCGTTGTTTTGCAGGTTCGGGCGTGAGTTCGCGGTTGCCTGTAGCTAGTGCTATTCCACGCCGGCGTATCAGCTTGAGTGTTTCTAAGACAGACACCTCTTGTTGATTATCGAACTCTCAGCTTTTATAGCATAAGATATTAAATCAGTCAATCGTATTCCGCAGATGTTATCAATAAAGGCCTTCTAACAAAAGCCGACTAATGTCCTGAATAAATCCCAGTTTTTGATGATTCTGGAGTAGGTGCTGGCTATGGTGTTCTCCATCGGGAGGTTTCCACATCCAGCGTTGAGGGTGGGGCTTCTAGAATTGTAAATTACCACGGGTGATCTTGGTCGTCATGATAAACTTAGGCAGCCACTCACGCTGTCCGTTCCTTTCTAACCCGTAGGTCTCAATGTAACGTTTCTCAAACGTTCTTCTGGGTCCAATCTTATCGTTAACATCTATGATAACCTTAAAGAATGTATGGTCTTCTCTGTAGAACTTCTCCTTGCCTATTCGGAACGATTCGACTTAGTTTTTCTTATAGTTTGATATCGGTCCGTATCCGACGACAATTGTCAAAACTGATATTGATCCATATCTCTTCAACCGGAAACGTCCGATTCAGGTTGGTAGCGGTTCTAATGAATCGATGTTCATGGCTAAACTCGTGTTGATGAGAAAGCTGACGCTGCCGACTTTTCTACAGTCGCATGTTCCGAGGAGTAGTTTTTCTCCGGTGTCACAGAGGGGTCACCTTACCGTTTTTTCTTTGCATTTTCAAGTCTTTTATCAAGGACTCAGATGCAAGTGCTCGTGCGTTGTAGGTACAGGTCAGCCTAGAACGGCCTTGAAAATTTAGCTGGCTCTCCGGACTCGTTCTACCCAACGCTTCCGTATTGGAGGCACCTGCGGTGTGAGAGTAGTGTGGTCTGCTCATTTACTGTTTTTAGCATTTCACATCTACGTATATCCTATGCTTTAAACATGGGGATGGGCGTACTCATAGATAGCTTGCCACTCTCTCCTAAAGCAGACGAAAAACTCATTTATTGGAAGCGATTCCTAGCCCCCTCCCGTAACCTCCCTTTTATCGGACCATATGCTTGTGGCCGAATTGACTCGTAGAATACACTCGCCATAAACGAAAACACAGCCACGCACGCACGCATGGAAATGTCTTTATGAACACCGAAGGTATGTGTCAAATCTGTGTAACAAAATCAGGGAGTCGTCCATTCACTGCAGCCATGGGTGTCTTAGGAAAGCATGAAGTCGCTTTTGGTTTGCGTCGAATCTTCTATCCGGCATCAGGGAAGAGCTACGCTCGAAGGCACCACATGTGCCAAATATGCTTTCTGTTACTTCCATGTTACAATTTAACGTATTATTTACTGCCTATTCTTTTTAACGGCAGGGTATTTATTGTGAAATATAACTTCAATGATGCTGAGATATTTGCAAAACTCCGGACCGCAGGTGTATGCGGTGGGGAACGAACGCGCTATTGTTCTTACCGGGGAGTAGCGCACTTCACCACCACACCAACCTGGTCCTTCGTTTTGCCTGTCTCTTAGCTAGTTTTACAATGTATACTTTGCCATTAAAAAGAATAGACAGTAAATAGTACGTTAAATTGTGATTAAAACTGCGGCCTCAGCTTAACTGGGTTCGTTGCCGATTTTGGCCTCCAGATCAGTCCCGTTGACAGGTGATTGCTGATGGCAAAAGATCGATAGAACTAGCTGAGAGAAAGGCAAAACGAAGGACCCGGATGGTGTGGTGGTGAAGTGCGCTACTTCCCGGTAAGGACAATAGCGCGTTCGTTCCTCACCGTATACACCTGCGGTCCGGAGTTTTGCAAATATCTCAGCATCATTGAAGTTATACTTCCATGTTACTTAAAAAGGTCGACGGATGGATGACACGTTCTTAAGAAACTCTTCGAAAGGTTTGTAAGTTTTTTACCTGGCCTTGTTGAAACAAAGGTAAAACGATGAAGTTGTGTAGAGTATGCTCGGTTGGCATGATCGACGATAAATACCGGACCGAGAGATTCTTCACGTGCTTCCTAACATCCATCGTTTGCTTGCTGTGAAGCTAAAAAGTGGTGAAGGTAAACGAAATTTCATAAATTTACTGAGTAAATAATCACCAAAAATAATCATGAAACGCACCCGAGCTTCAGGATTTGTACTTTCAATTTGATGCAACAGTGCGGTTCTGTCTTTAGAAATCTGGATGCAAAATGTTTTACCGCATAAAATGGGTACAATAAAGAGGAAAAAAGGAAGAAAAGGCGAAGTAAGTTCAGTGGCGATGAGCTCTGATATGATTTCTGAACTGGATTTCAAGGCTGTATCATTATTCTCTCACAACAACATATCTGTTAACTATTTCCTATAACAAGGGGGTAGATGGTACAGTGGTAGCGATGACCGTCATCACGATCATGGTGCTAGTTCCATTCCGCTCCGAGCCAACCAGGCCTCTCATCCTTCCGGAGTCGGAAAATTGGCACCGGACTTGTCTGGGAAGAAATCACTCCCTGCAATCCAACTGAGAACGCTCCAGGCCGGCTATCTCAGAACTCCAGGGGAATTGCTCGACCAGCATTCTACGACATTTAAGATGAAAGGAAAATCTTCAAGTAAGAACCGAAGCCACACGTAAAAAGTTGGAAGGTCTTCGTGGACAATGGGTGCGAGGAAACGAATCGAATGTCAGAAGTGCTGCGACCCGCACAGTAGACGTGTAGATGGGTCGTGTAAAATAAAAATAAAAAATTGATAATTTCCTACATAAAATTTCTGAAAACTTTTCGAAAACCTCTCCATGAAAATGGAAGTTATAAGCAACCCACCACGGCATCCATGGCCGCCACTTCGTAGAATGAAAGTCTCCTCCACAAATGTTGCTGGATAAACCTGCTGATAATGCAATCATTCTATTTATCAGAATCGTGTTTTAACATGATGACCATACACTTATAAACAAACTTATGCTTACTGATTGACAACGATGTGTGCTACGATCATGTGTAGACACGGCGAAGGCATGCCCGCAATGGAACGCATGCCTATCGATAGGTAAAGAGGGGCGTAGCGTAGTGGTTAGTGGGGCAGTCCATTAGGAACCAAAATTCTGGCTCCTAACGCTCTTCTCCAGTCCATGTGGGAACGCCTTTGTTCGACTGTTTCCAAGATTGGTAGAAGAATCAGTATTCTAGGATATTCATAAAGAATACGAAATCTTTAAGCACCAGCCAAAACAAGATTCGAAATGTTTGAAGAGCTTTGTGAATGACGAATTCAAGGAAAACGAATCTTTCGATTCGAAAAAAAGAATCGAATCCAAAAAGATTTAAGATCAAAGGAACAGATTTAATGATGGGTCATGTAAAAAAAAAGTAAAAGATTCCCTGCTATAACATCATACTGAAGCCCCAATAGTTTACTGCTTCATTGTTGCTATTCCTGGGTATCGAACCGCAGTGTCAAGCGAAGGGTTATCATTAACAGGATCTCCCAAACTGAAAAAAAGTTCAATGTTTGCTTTCACTGCCAAGAATAGATACCATAGTCGCAGAAATCTAGCCACTAGTTGGTAAGTGATTACGAACTGGTAAAGCCATAACACGGCTTCTGAGACGTTAGGGAAAGAAAATCTTGCCCAACTATCAAATTACTAACAAGTGGAAATTTTGCTGAAGTCCGCTCGATCTGCCGTGATTGACGAGGAGGAGCTATTAAAGTGTTGAACTAAGCTTTTATCCATCACCACGGGTTGCACGCGAGATCGAGAAATGGAAGATTTACTGGCGCTCGCTCGAGTGATTCGACGAGCAACGGGAAGATAGGAAGTTAATATAGGTGATATTTCGCTAACACGAAATTGAAGACCAACGTTATCCGTTGTCCATCCTTGATATTATCGAGAGCGACACGAAGGTTTTCAAACCTGAATTTCATCGAGGATATGTTTACAATGTTTCAAAAGAAGTGATGATTTTGGTGAAAGGCTGAAGCCTTCCAAAAATTGTTTATTTCCGCCAATTTTTATTTACTGCTCAATAATTTTTAATGGAAGAGTATTATGTGATATGACCATAATGTTGCTGAGGTATTTGCAAAACTCCGGACTGCTGGTGTCTGTGGTGGAAACCGAACACACTATTATCCTTCCCGGTGGCTAATGCGTTCACCACCACACCATGCGAATCCTTCGTTTCGCCTGTCTCTCAATTTTGCAAGTATTCCAGCAATATTATTGCGTATTGCTTTAGAAGACCTTAATTCTTACTTTTTGTAAACAGAACAAATATGTCTGAATAATAATTATCACCTAAATAGCACAGAATTCTATTTATCATGGAGTAAAGTGGACAAATACTATTCGATTATATTACCACTCTCTGAGTACCAGAGGTGCTTATTGGGTTCAGGTAGCACCATGGTATATGAAGAGCATGAATTTTTTGATATCATACCATTTTTTAATGCTTTTGGCGAAGTGTTCGCCAAAGATAACTCGCTAGGCTCTGTAATGGCATGGGCTTACACTAGGCGGTGATCAGGGTAGCAATATTGGGATCCTCACCTCCAATAACCATGCATGGACGAAGATGACTTCATACTTCAGTGGATAATCACATTTTCACATTTAGAAACATCTTAGGGTACGGTAGTACGGCGAACCACTAGAGCAGAATCAAAACTAGATTCAGTTGGAATACTCAGTGCTTCTTTATTAACGCAGAAGAATAAGATTATTTATCTTCAAAACATAAAAGTAATCGCAATAATTGGCGTCAACAAATAAGACTACGACAAAAAAACATATCGATCATTTTCACGCAAAAATTGTAGTTGCAACTTCTGTTCCATACATTCTAAGCGATCAGTTAGGATTTCTTGAGTGTTCTAGCTGCCAACCATCCACCAGTATTGCACCCACCCCCGCTGTTGCATCCGTGGTTGGATGTTCCAAAACGTGTACGTGAACCTAAGTTTTGTTCGTTTATAAACGTTCTGCATAAGTTGGTAACTTCTGAAAAATATCATTTTTACTGGTTTATTGGCCTTTTGTTGAACTCCTCGTGGTAAAAGTCTACATAATTTCTTATAAACTATACATATATATGTAAATATATGTACATATTTATATATATATACATATATTCGCCACGCAGACGGCTCAACCTACTCGGTCGATGGTTAGACACCATTCGGGGCCCACCATCTGAGGTGAATAAATTGGTATCAGACTGGTCTGCGACAAGCTGACTTCCTCCAATCCACATAGGAACTCTTCAGTGCGGCTATCTAATGGTTGAACTATAAGTGCTTGAACCCAGTGAATAACTATAACAGCGCTTTCGGTTCCCATCGCAGATACCAGCGATCCGGAGTTTTGCAAATATCTCAGCACCATTACGACCTTCCATTTAAAAGGAGTAGGCAGTAAATAAAAAGTGATGGCAATGCAAGAAGTGTTGGGATACACATTAGGTCGAGTCATGTAACAGTAATAATAATACTAGTATTAAACAAATCTATAATTGCAGATTTTGGATTTATTTGCTTGTAGAACCTATACGAACCTGCGATCCTTGACATCGAGTTTCTCAGCGTGTTGCCATTGTTTATGGTTGACCCGATTCCAAGCATGCTGTTGATTCCGTTCATCCCATTTATTCCATTCATCATGTTCATTCCGTTCAATCCATTTAATCCATTAATCATTCCATACAGTCCATAACCACCGTAACCCATTCCAGTTCCTGTGCCATAAGCGTTTAGGGTCGAAGGATCGTCTATACAAAACACTGCTAATAAAGTGCACAAAAGTATTATGTAAACCAAAGTGCTAGCTATGGAATTTGTCAAAACGTGACCTACCGTATCCCATCATACTATACGGGTATCCACCGCCATAAATACCACCAAGACCGTATGATGGCATACCAAACGGATTTATTAACATGGAACTGTATGGATAACCTGAAGTAGGATAACAGTAATAAAATGAGGAAACCATTGTTCGGCAAATCACATAGTGATAGTCAATCCCTCCATTCGACTATGTCAATAAGGTTTTCGAACATTTCTGCATGTCATTTCAACCGGTTATATTCCACCCGCATTCAATCAGTAAAGGAAAGAACACTTTCCTGTTTCCTAGAAAAAACAAAAGCAAAAAAGAAAGAGAAAGACAGAAACAGCATTCTTCAACTGCTCACTCTCGTTACTAAGACATAAAATTGGGACGGTTGTATTGTTGGAACACATACCAATAGAGGTCAGAAGTATGTGAATTTATCTGGATAGCCTAAACAACGGTGATGAAGTGGCGTGTTGACTAAATGCGCCCTACAAAACACACTTGGTACTTGGTTCGATCCTTTGCCTCTAGCTCATCTCATCAAGCTTTCCACTACTACAAGACCCGCGAATTAGTCATTGAATATTCTGGGAGAACAAAATCATTGACTTAATGCACTAGTAAAGTGTCGCAAGCCATTATATGGGCCAAATATACGTTCGGAATCTTCTACTATGGCTAATGAGGTCAGAAGTATGCGGCGTGCCTAAGGTATTGACCAATGTCGATCACTTCACCATTTATTCAGCAGCAGAACCAACAATGATAAATTGATTCACGACACTTACGATTACAACTTTGCAACTTGTTAAATTTGGAGATGCGACGCAACTGGTGAGCCAAAACTTGTTTTAGCAAAATCCACAAGATGTTTAGATATTCGAGAGTTCCCGAATATAGTTATGGCTGATGAAAACTGGAGAAAGTCTTGCGGAATTCAGTCAAGTGTTTTTCTTCTATAAGTAGTACTTAGTTAATGAAAAGAAGTGACCATTCTTTTCTATAAAAAAAATCTTCACCATTCAGACGACCTCGTAGGTTCACTAGTGGAAATCATATGACAGCTATTAGAGAGATAAATGAATAAGAGATGTCAATTAACATAAGTGCTGACAGCTCACCTGCTGCTCCAAAAGCACCGTACCCCATATACTGCGCTCCAACAGTGGAAATATAGAGGGTTAGCAGTGTAATCGGTGTCATTTTCAGTAAATAAAACGTAACTATACGTTCACTACTTATATATGAGTACTGCGAAGTGTCAACATTGCACCGCTAGAATATGAATGAGATTCGGAACTCAAGAACTCACGACGTCGTCGTGGGAAGAACCCGCTGCTTCTCTCACCTGCGCAGCATGTACCCGTTGAGAGGGTTGCGATGATGGTGACGCCAGCAACAATAAATTAACAAACAAAGCATTCGGCTTTGATCCCACTCTTAGGAATGTATCGTGATCTAGCTACTCCAACGAGTATCATGAACTAAATGAATGCATATTTCGCATAAGAATTTTTCAAATTCAAGTCACACGGTTGGTTGGTAATTAACTGCATTATCAGTATATTATGTAAAATACAGCTACAACAGGGCTGATATATTTGCAAATCTCGGACCTCAGGCAAAATTCGAGCCTTTACTACCCTCTTAAGAACTTCACGTGCTACCCACTCCACCACCAAGGCACTTGCTTTGCCTTTCTCTCAATTCTCTCCCTCTCTGCTTCTTTTTTTTTCGCCTCCATTTAACAAATACCCAGCTATGAAAAAAACAATACGGTGTAAATATGAAGTTGTACATAGACAGTGTTTTCTTCTTACACCGACGCGAGGTTGTCAATAAAAAGACTCATTCAATACTGGCCGACATTTGCGCGGTTTCGCAATCTTCGTAGCCTGGAAAGGTCAATTCGACAATTGACACACAATCTGCTCACGAAAACATTTTCACAATTTTAGCAGAAAGCCTTAAAAGAAAAGATAAAAGCTCTCGACATTGACCAATCCCTGACGAATGCGCCATGTATTCGATTTCATTAAGTATCGTCTGAGGTAATTGAATGCATATCTGGTCCTTACAATGACTCGCGGTGGCCAACCGATTTGTCGAGCCATTGCTTCTATCCACCCAGACAAGTCTGGTACCAACCTGCAGACCCCGGAAGGCTTGGTGGGCCATGAGCGCGGAGATCGATTCCATGTGTGTGTTGCAGCGCGCCTCCAACCAGTGCGCCACACGTGCGCTAGGAGAAGCTTAATACCTAAATTTCAGTCGCATGGAAAACATCCACTTTCAAACAGTCACCTTTTTTTCTTGTTGTAGTTAATAAGAATGAAACAGGAATGAAAAAATTGTGTTGGTCAGTATTGAAAGACCAGTATTGACCTGTGAAAAAATTGATATTGATCAGTATTTCCAGGGTTTTAATGCAAACTACTGTCTTAACTCACCTGTGGTCCGGAGTTTTGCAAATATCTCAGCATTTCATACGAGTTATATTTCGCAACATAACCTGCCATTAAGAAGAAAAAAGGCAGTAAACAAAAGAGTTAAGATTGTGATTATAACTAAGCCTCAGCTTAACTGGGTTCAATGCCGATATTGGCTCCCCANCACCTGTGGTCCGGAGTTTTGCAAATATCTCAGCATTTCATACGAGTTATATTTCGCAACATAACCTGCCATTAAGAAGAAAAAAGGCAGTAAACAAAAGAGTTAAGATTGTGATTATAACTAAGCCTCAGCTTAACTGGGTTCAATGCCGATATTGGCTTCCCAGATCAACCCCGTTGACGGGTGATTGCTGATGGCAAAAAAGATCGATAGAAGTAGCTGAGATATACGCAAAGCGAAGGACCCGGATGGTGTAGTGGTGAAGTGCGCTGCTCCCCGGTAAGGACAACAGCGCGTGTTCGTTCTCCACTGCATACACCTGTGGTCCGGAGTTTTGCAAATATCTCAGCATTTCATGCAAACTACTGTATTGATCTCTAAGAGATGGCGAAGAACTACTGCGTATCACAGATGTGAACTTGAATGGTGATTCGATAAGCAACTCATAGTTTGACGGGAAATTAGTGCATAACACCAGAACTTATGCCCTTCTTCATGAGCACCCAGTTCGGGTACAATACTCCAGACTTTCAAATGCATGAAATTGTACGCGTATGAAGGACAGTGTTTTTTAAACCGACCGTAGTTTAACCTCGGTAGTTATAATCAACACCTTTTTGGATTGTCAAGTTAACACGAGGTTGACAAAGATGTTTATTAGGCCAATGCTTCGGCGTCTTCGTCTTCATTAGAGCCGATTTTCCGAGTCGATGATCAACGGTCGTCAGTAGTACTGCTTTGCGACTCGCTGTTTGCTAGCTAACATAACCGACTGCTGCAGGATGGGTTATCCATTAGAAAACAAAATATAAATAATACTTATTATCATTGAAACCCATTGTAAAAGAGAGGTGCTGGGTGAGGTTATCTCATTCGAGAAGTGCCTCACGGAAGAAGATTCAAGACGATGCGAGGACGGATACCACATAGACAGGACAAATGACAGTGGACCAACGACGCTGATCGTCGGTTCTGATGAAAACGAAAACATCGAAACATTAGCAGAATACACAATTTTGACAAACTTGTGTGAGTTAAAATCTAGGAAGGTATAAACGACAATGACAAAAACATCTACTGTGAAAACTTGCTAAGCAATAGCATGCACATCTCCGCCTCCAACACAAACCGTGAATTCGCTCAAGGATTGTGTATGGCTCTACCATGCTTAACTGGATCCCAGGCTTCGCCATCGATTTCACATATCTCGAAACTCTCAGGAATCGAGGCATGTACTCCTGGTTTCACAACCGCAAGCTGCTGTGTCAGCAGCGAAAGTACGCAATCGCAATTGCGAATAATATAGCACAGGAACTCAGCTGTCACCACTCCATCACCTTGAAGCACTCGCGGGTGGTCTTCTAGAAAAAAAGTAATGGTCCAATAGAATACATAATCTGTAAAACCCAGCTCTCCGTCTGAGCACCGGTCACTAAAAATAACTTTTGAGAGACCGAATAAAGTAGGACAACAACTGGGAAATCTACGGACAAACATGCACAGAGCTTTCTAGTTGTTATTTCAGAACAACCGTTGTCGAAATCGTCGAAACCGAAACTACACACACTATTCCAATCAACAGTACTGATAACACTGCTGTGGCAGCAAAATGTAGTGGCATTTGTGGTTAGTGAATCGGCGCGAATATCCAAGCAAATCAGATCTTCTAGGCGAATGGTGCTAACCTCTTCATAGCAATCTGTCTTACATCCTTCCACATTTCCACCTTCAACCTAACAACCAATCTCACTCTCCTTCACATCTCCACCTTCTTCATAACAACCTGTCTCACTGTCCCCCACATCTCCACCTTCTTCATAACAACCTGCCTCACTGTCCTCTACATCTCCACATTCTTCAAAACAACCTGCATCACTGTCCTTCACATCTCCACCCTCTTCATTACAGCCTATAACACTATCCTCCTCATCTCCACATTATTCATAACAACCTGTTTCACTGTCCTTTACATCTACACCTTTTTCACTACAGCCTACGTCACTGTCCTCTACATCTCCACATTCTTCATAACAACCTGCCTCACTGTCCTCCACATCTCCACCTTCATCATAGCAACCTTACTCACTGTCCTTCCCATCTCTACCTTCTTCATAACAACCTGCCTCACTGTCCTTCACATCTCCTCTTTCTTCATAACAACCTGCATCACTGTCCTTCACATTTCCACCTTCTTCATAGTAACCTGATTCACTGTCCTCCACATCTTCTTCTTCTTCATAACAACCTGTCTCACTGTTCTCCACATCTCCACATACTTCTAACCATCCTGTATCACTGTCCTTCACATCTCCACCTTTTTCATAGCAACCTATCTCACTGTCCGCATCTCCACCTTCTTCATAACAGCCTATGTCACTGTGCTTTTCATCTCCATCATCTTTATAACATCCTGCATCACTGTCCTCCACATCTCCATCTTCTTTATAACATCCTGCATCACTGTTCTCCGCATCTCCACCTTCTTCATAACAAACTATCTCACTGTCCTCCACATCTCCACATACTTCATAACATCCTGTATCACTGTCCTCTACATCTCCACATACTTCTTAACATCCTGTATCACTGTCCTTCATATCTCCACCTTTTTCATAACAGCCTATGTCACTGTGCTTTTCATCTCCATCTTCTTTATAACATCCTGCATCACTGTCCTTCACATCTCCACCTTCTTCATAGCAACCTGTCTCACTGTTCTCCACATCTCCACATTATTCATAACAACCTGTCTCACTGTCCTCCACATCTCCACCTTCTTCATGAAAACGTGTCGCATTGTTCTCCACATCTCCACATTATTCATAACAACCTGTCTCACTGTCCTCCACATCTCCACCTTCTTCATGAAAACGTGTCGCATTGTTCTCCACATCTCCACATTATTCATAACAACCTCTCTCACTGTTCTCCACTTCTCCACATACTTCTAACCAACCTGTATCACTGTCCTTCACATCTCCACCTAATTCATAACAAACTATCTCACTGTCCTCCACATCTCCACCTTCTTCATGAAAACGTGTCTCACTGTTCTCCACATCTCCACATACTTCTTAACATCTTGTATCACTGTCCTTCATATCTCCACCTTTTTCATAACAGCCTTTGTCACTGTGCTTTTTATCTCCATCTTCTTTATAACATCCTGCATCACTGTCCTCCACATCTCCATCTTCTTTATAACATCCTGCACCACTGTCCTCCACATCTCCATCTTCTTCATGAAAACGTGTCTCACTGTTCTCCACATCTCCACATACTTCTTAACATCCTGTATCACTGTCCTCCACATCTCCATCTTCTTTATAACATCCTGCATCACTGTCCTCCACATCTCCACCTTCTTCATAACAAAC